TGATCCAAACCCTAAGACCCCCGTTTTAAATCCTTAACTCAGTTTGAGCCATGCAGTGCCTTGAGGGGAAATTAGCTTGAGTGGCCTCTTGCCATTTTATCACTGACGAATAAAATCATATTTAAAAGCAAGTTAAGGGTGTAGTATTTTATTAACCTAAGTTCAACTCAAATCTTCTATCTTGATGTCTTCTTACATCCCGCGAGGATATTTTCCTCATGAGTGAATCACCATTTTTTGAACAGTTCTTTTTTTTTTCTTAAAAACAAAACAAAACAAAACAAAAAAAGTATGATTTAATATTATTGGCTGTAGCAGCCATTTTGGGGTTTGGATCAAGTGTCACATGRAGCAGCAGTTACAGTATGTTGCCTGACCCATGATCCAGAACTGATGCTGTTTATTTTCATAAGAAGGCCAATAGCACACCTACCAAAAGCTCATACGCTTTTCATGTGCTAATGGAACATGACCAAGAGACTTTTAAAAGGCCAAAATTATTTCACGCTTTGCTCATGAGGCGTGCATTCTGCAACACCACGGCACGGGTGGAATCTGTTGACCTGAAACGCACACACAGACACCGGGTCTGAGGAGATGTGTTTCCACAAAAATAACAGTTAGATTTATAGTCCCCAGAGATTAAAAAAGGGGGTTTGGGTGTTTGTTTGCACTTTCCTCTTCTTCAATACAGTCTCATTCATGTTCACTCATCCTGGGGTAACTCCTCCAACCTTGCAGTGGCACCTGCAGAAATTTTTTCAGGGGGTGCCACATGGGGAGGGTGGGGGTGACTGAAAAACCAGGGGTGGCACACCAAGACTAATATCTATAACAGAAATTTTATGTGTTTGTAAATATGACAAATTGAAAACTACGGCAATCTAAATCTATGGATTTGCCAACAGATGTTCGATTTGTAATTTCACAGATAATATTACTGATTTTATGACAGCTGGGGGCTCTGGGGGTCCTCCACCGGAAAAAATTTAAAGAAGTAAATGCAATTTCCTGCATTCTGGTGTATTTTGACAGGTTGGTAAACAGATTTTTACCTATATAGGAAAACACTTAATGTGAGTATTCTATAAATAAATTTGTTAAGAGAAACACTGGATGAATGTTTTATTGTAAATGTTGGGGGTTTAAAT